TCTTTCAGGAAAATTTTCTTACTTACCGTTAAAGAATGCATTTGTTAATAAACAGGAATACGATTATAACTTAATTAATTACGGAACTAAGAGAGCCAAGAGAACTAGTTAGAATTCTTAGTTAACGCGTCGTGAAACTGAAATTCTGAAAATCCTGTATTTCGTAAAATTAGAGCTCGTATGGGGTTACCTCCTTAGGGTAATTAAAATCTACACGTCACGAACGACTACGACGTGCTTTTGTAATTTCACCAGCCGCGTATACCCGTGCAATTTGGTGAAATCGCCAAAATTTCTAGAAAACTCGAGGGCTTTGTACTTCTAATGACGGAAAACAGACGAACGTGCAATTCTGCTATTACAGAAAACAGTACAATGATCGGCGCGGATTAACAATGGAACAATCGTTGGAACGCTGCAGCTTTATATAATGCTGCTACTCCAGCTCTCTATTTCTGTTCCGTGGATATAAGCGTGCAATTCTGCTGTTGGAAATATAAAATTGACGAATTACACAGCGTCGTTACGACGTTGATACGCCGCGTTGTATTTTTAGAACATCGCCGTGATATTGTTCGTTTGAAACGGTACTGACTGGCACCGATCCTCTTGCATGCCATTGCAACACGTGCCTGCCATTGTTTCTCCAACTGAATAGTTGATCTTTGAAAAGCTAAGTTTCTCCTTTTCTTCGATACAGTTTGAAAAATATTAGCACAAGTCCTGTTTGAGTTATCTTCATTAGTTAAGTCTCTCTTAACTCTCTGAACTCGATGAAACCTCTGCATACTTGAATGCAATTTCCTCCTTTTTGATAATTTCGAGTTACCGTGGCCCGATTGTTTTATCGTACGCAACATCTCCGGCCATCAAAATTCCACTGACTTCGATGCAAACGGAACAAGTGAAACAAACACAGGCGAAGAAGGACAAAACACAAGAGTTAAAAATAACAGAATCAATAAAAAGTTTCGCGCGACAGCCGGGACAAGCAAAGTGATTCCGTCGCGGATATCCCGCAAGCGAGAAAGCAAACGGCTCGTTTCGCGAAACTTTGCCGCGTCGTCCAACGAATACGGAATCGATGGAATTCGATGGATTCTGGGATACATATAACGCAAAATCCATTCCATTCTAAAATACATTGGCGACAAATGACTTGTGTTATCTTCAAACTGTGGATATTTGTGCAAACTCGTAGTTTTACGAAGAGTAATTTAAAAAAAAATTTAAATCTCCGCTGTTTCAAGTTCTCCGTAAATGCAATTTTCCTTTCATCCTACCTGGAACGAACGTGCATAAAATAATTAATCGATCAATATTCACCGGTGAAACGTAATGTTTTAGAAGAAACGTGGACAAATCGGACATTGATATCGTCTCGAACACTGACAGAGAAGGACGGGCAGGCATCGAGTTACGAACTCGCTTGGGGAAACGCGTTAATGGCGACACGCAAAAGAATCGGACCGGCGAAAATTGCGCGGCGAATGCGCTAGTTAGAATTTAACGATGCCACTTACGGAATCGAATTCCTAGCAAGCTTGCTCGTTATATTCAGAGCGATGTCCGTTTCTGGATCTCGTCCGCGGGAGGAAAATATTCGAACGAGCACAGATAAATGCCGTTTCCTTTTTCCAGATGAAATTGCCTTCGTCGATGCTGTACGTACAACAATCGGATATTAGAAAGGCCGTGTTGCCTCGTATAATAGAGAGAGAGGGAGAGGGAGAGAGTAACGCAAAATAACGCGAACTCAGGCTTTCGGGAATGACGATAACGATCCTCGATCGTCGCCGATTTATTTCCATCCGGGTAACTCGCAGCGAGATTTAATTTTCCCGCTGGTGGATATTCATTGCTGCGTTAAGGATGAAAATTTCTGATTCTTTTTCCTTTTTCTTTTTCGTCGAGAGTAGTTAATTTAGAACTTTCTTTATAGTTATTTCTGGATCGCGGATTCTCCTGCAAATTCGTATTTCCGACATTGTCAAAATGGTCGGAATGCTCAATTTCTTTTACCATGTTTTTTGATACTTTACGAGTTTCTTCATATTGCGCGCATTCTATGTAATTTCAAGTTTTTTAATTTCCTACAAACGCGTGAAATTTCATATTTTATTTCGCCCGAAATCGTCCTCCATCCTTTCCCGAGGTGCGAAATTCTTTCATATCGCAACGAGAAAAAGTGAAATTATTTATAACTTGAAACGCATAAATTTTAAACGATATTTCCACGTGCGGACATTCTTCATTGTCTTGATGTTATAAATATCACGTTCCTTTTCAACATTTTTCTATGCTCCGTAAAAAATCGATTTTCAGGAACGTTACAAGCTTTTCAAACAATTCGATGTGCACGTACATATATACATATATACATATATATATATTTTTTTTTCATATGCGTCCCATACAAACTTTAAATCATTCTCTGTATTACTATTATATCACCCTGGTTGCCAAAGATACCCCGTTGGTTTGAAGCTAGAAATTCGTTAAAAAACGGGATGCTGGATGGTTTCAATCGGTTCTATTTTTCACTGACAATCCCGATAAATACACGTTATCGATATTACTGCTATACAGTCATACCGTGTCCATCGATACCGTCCATTCATTCTATTCTATTTTCTTCCCTCTCTCTCTCTCTCTCTCTTTCTCTTTCCACCTTCATTGTGTCATCACTGAGCAAAGAATTTGTGTCTCACGGGTCGCAGAGGGATGGCGTCATTTCTATTCATCTCAAAAATAAAGGCGTGCCCGATCACCAGCCCCGATAGCCATGAATATTTTATCTGCATAATATCTCGCCATGCTCCACCCCAAACCTGTACGTTCACACGTACGCTGGTGCACGTATCCCATCATCTTCGTCGTTCTTTTACGCGTTCTTTCTTCTTTCTTTTACCATCCAGGCATCCATGCATCGTGAAACTCGTCCGGTATCGTGTCCAGATCGTGTTGTCGGAAATACGGACCGGTCTCTGTCTGCGGTTGGATCGCACGTGTGGAATGCAAACGGTCGCGAAATGCGAACAGAACACGAATAGGGATTCAAGACGGGTGTGTACGAAGCGGTCTTGAAGTGCGGAACACGAGAGAGAGAGAGAGAGAGAGAGAGAGAGAATCTGTCTGCGTGTAATTTTCAAGGGAACATCGCTCGGGAAGGATGCCGCGAAGAATGGAAAGTGGCGTTTCGATCATCGCGAAATCGATCGCGCTTTCCAAGTCGGTTACGCGTTCCTGATTTTCGCACGGTGTTCGAGTTCCTCCCGCTGTCTCGTGGGACTTGTTTTCCTCCTCTGCACATGTGAATGTAGCAGTTTAGGATACTGTGGGAAATTGTGTCTGGTTTCCAGTGGAGAAAAGAAGGGACAAAGCTGGCGAATATTTTTCATTGAAGGTACTAATTTTTCTGGAGATATATGCGATATATGATATAATCGATTTTTCTTAGATTGAAATGTTAGAAAATGCAGATCACTCAGTAGTTTCAAAGTCTTATCCTCTAAAGCTATTAAAGATTAACATCGACTGAATTACGCTCATTCCATTTTAAATAACATTGCCCTCCTAAAAGATCGATAAAATCCGTTTTATTTCGCTCGAAGAAAAATTTCTGAATTAGAGTCTATTCATCTAGCGAGATGCCTCAATATACAATTTCCAAAGATCCAACATGTTTCAATGAAATTTCGTAAATATTCAAAGTAACACGCTTGAAATTGAAATTTGATATCACTTACTGTTAATTATGAGCCACTCGCTTCATAGAATCACTCTCAACTCCTCGAGAATATTCTCGCCAGCATCCCCTTCCGTACTGGCGCACGGAGAGACAGGTAATTCGTTAGGCATCTCGTATTGAAAGCACGCGGCCCGTTTTATGTCGTACCAGAGGAACAAACGTTCCACTAGCTCCACGACTGTATTTCGGGAGGGTTTTGTGCAGTCCGCGCGCGACCGGCAGCTATATCCGTGGGCGTTCTATAAATGGGTTCTATGTCAATCCGCAGCTTAATTTAATGTTTGCACCGCGAACACCAATATTTTCGTTCTCTTAACTAATCTACACCCCGCGTTTCTCTATCAATCTCATCATGTGTCTTTTGCCTTTCCCCATTGCCGTCGTATTGCGACCCACTGAAAACTCGAAACTTTTAATTCAATTTCATTTCATTGTTAACATTTATGACGGAGAACGTAAAACGCGAAATGAAATCAAACTGCGGAATTGTAATAACGCAACATAATTTAATTATCGGTGATTCAATGATGATTCGAGTGACTCTGATACTAAATTGGTATCATTGGTCGCTTAATTGTGGAATTTTTTATTTAATTTAATTTTACTAACTTTTTATTTAATTTGATTCAAGAATGAATTCAATTTAACATCAATCACGGAAAATATAAACTACAAAATGAAATTGAGTTTCAAACTTCAACACAATTCGACATACACAGTATTTTTCTGTGTTTATGAGAAAAAGAACGTAGACTGTCTTGCCAGCGTATCTGAAATATAAATTTGCACGAATGGCCACTGTTCGCAACTAAAACGATGCCACTCAACGGTCAATCTCCTGTCTGCAAAGTCAAAAGGTTTCGCCAACTTCCTCCATTCCCTTCGGGATACTCATCCTTTCCCAAAAGCAGCAATAAAAGAGCAAATAAAAAAACCACGTTGAAAAACCTTTGGACCGCGTTCAGCAACGACACCGACACGCTTAATGTCCAATAAACGAGTCCAGATGATCAGCACACGGCTTCTTCCACACCGTAGTCCCCACAGACAACACTCCTACACACACCGAACACTCTCTCTCTCTTTCGGAGACCTCGGAGTGGTGTTGATCCACGATTCAGCTAGTGTGGCCGACGCACGCACGCACGCACGCACGCACGCCGCGCGTACGAGCATCGCTTTGTCACGCGTACGGTTTCTCTGGTTCTGTCTGCGTGTGCCCGTATGCTGCTCGTCTCTCGTCTCTCACCTCAGTTTATTGTTAGAGGGGCCGGCTAGTGACGGACGCGGGGCATCAGGATTTAGTGCTTCTTACACCGCCCATGCTGGTACCACGCGCCTCGTGCCACGCTCCTTTCCACCGAAAGTGCTTGCCGAATTTTCGCGTGAATCGCGCGCGACGAGTTCGATTTTTACGACTCGCGACTCCACGTTGTCGGCGATCGTTCGAGGTACAGTGATTCCGGGGGAGAATCCGTGGAATTTTCGTTACCAGTGCCATCCACCTACACAGTGTAGTCACCTTTTTGTAGTTGGGGCGCGAGTGATCCGCGGAATGTTCACACGCCGGCAGAAAAGTTTCTCCGTAACGTCGAAAATTCCGTCGGAATTCACGAGTATAAACAGACGAGGTAGAGTTCCTAGCGAGCTAGCTTTATTGGCCCTTCTTTTTTTTTTTTTTTTTTTTTTTCTCTTCTTTGACGTTACGCGGCGATAACACATCGCGATAGAATCGCGATTATCGACGTACCAGCGGCAGGACTAGTTTTTATCTCGCCTCTCTGTTCACTTTGACCGCGAGAGAGAAAGATAAAAACGAAGATAAAAGAAAAAAGACCGCGCGATATTCGTGAGATATCGGAGGAAGCGGAATGACGGTGGCCTCTCGTTTCCCGTGGTCGACGATCGACGAGATATCGCTGCAGCTCGGACCGAAAAAACGCGAAATTAGGATTCCGAGGACGCGGAGAAGGGCTCGTGGCTCGAACACGAAAAACCAATTGCACGAGTGCTCAAGTGTCGACCGTCGAGGGCGAAGTTGGTGACGCGAGGGGTGACGAGAGCCGGTGGTACTCGCTGACTAGGGAGAGATAGAGGGTGCGAGAATCGGGAGGGATGAAATTGACGGGTATGGAAGGCTGGTGCGATACCGGTGCAACGGTGGTTCTTTGTGCAAACAGGCCGGCGTCGAAACGCATTCGCGAGGAAAACAGCCAGGTTGTAATAAAAAATTGCACATTCGCGAGTAAAAGTGAAATTTACACGGTCGGATGGACGGGCGAGAAGACCGCCCTCTGCGTGCCATTTCCATTTTTTTTTTTTTTCCCTTCCACCCTGCCCCCGTTCCGAGAGAATGGAACGACGAGGCAAGTGCAACAACTTCCAATGGTATTTCGTTTCCGTTCGCGCAATTTCATCGCGTTTTCCATGTGTGCCTCGATCGACCGACCGGCCGTTCCGCGAAAAAGGATAACACGGGGAAAAAGAGAAGCAAGAAACCGAATTTTTCTCTTGTTTCTGTTATCTGATATTCGTCGCTCGTTCCTCTAGATTATTTCGCCCACGCGAACGGCAAAATAGTTGTACGCGTTGTAATTCGCGCGCTTATTTAGACGACGTTTCGTAAATTGTTCCTCGACCCTTGAAGTGGATTTCTGATTTTCAGCACGCAGCACACAGAGATCGACAATCCCTTTTGCAGTATTGAAAACGTACTATGAGATGATAGAGGATTATTAGCTACCAGTTTGAGATTAGATGAGATCAAATGAGCGTTGTCTGTGAGGATAGTATTTCATGCAGAGTTGAAATGATGTGTTTTATCGTTGGATGTGTCACGATGAATCTTCTCTTTTGTCAGGAACGTATTGACGTGTGGGTGTGATTCGTCCTATTCTAATTCTCGAGATTGCTTCCGATTAATGCGAACACGTCGTGACACCGAGACTGACACGTATCTCTCGAATAAATTGTCTTTAATCAGGACTCGAATTTCTTTCTTTGTTTTTCGTTCGATGTATCTCGTTCGTAAAAAATATATTCTAACGTTAAAAGTATCCAAGGAATGATCGAAACGAAGCTTCTTCGTGCTTCAATTTCTCTACGCCCTACAACGTTCCAGCGTTAATGTCCGTTGAAATTGAAATATACACCTCGAACAATACGGTTGGTTACACGTTCCCTGATTTCCTGCTTGACGGAGTACCGGGAGAACGAAGTTTCCCCACCGTATGATAGTTACACGTACCGCAAATCGACAGAAAACCCTTTTGATTCAGCGTCGCTCGGCCTCGGTCGTTTTACAACGTTTTAACGCCGCCCGTGCCCTCCTACCGCCGGCTAATACATCCTTAAACCTCGCCCGAGCCCCTCGTTCTCACTCTCTTTCATCTCCAAAGCCCTAATTAACTTTGGTAATTATGTGTACGCCCGGACAGAGAGAAGGGCTTTGCACTCGGCGCTCCGCCGCTCGAAAGACGGGGGCACGCCGAAAGGAGTAAAGTGCGGCTACGAGATTGCGAAGAAACGAGACGGCTAATGCAGAACGATGCACGCGCGAGCTACCAGCGAGCAACCGAGCTCCCGGCTCGTCCAACCAGAATTCTCTATAAATAGCTGCCGAAAGGAGATCTCGCGAGATTTGACAGCTCCTGACGAACGCTCGTTCGAGCGGATATGCCGTTCCGCGAAAACGGGGGCACGCTCTTCGACCCCACCCCCCACCCCCGACGCTCCTTTTCCACGGAAGCACGTTTATTCTGATTTCAGAAGGACTCTTGCTTCAGAAGGCCCCCCCCCCCCCTCCTTCGTTCGCATATCCGTTGCATATCCGTTCGCTTGCTGAAATTTGCATCGCCTTCCTCGGTGTTCCAACCACGGCAGTCAGTTTTCGAAGTCTCGTTCGGGTTAGTTTCGGGTTAAGCTAAGAAGTTAGTTGGCTGGAGATTGTTCGAATTTAAGTTTTCCGACTTGAAACCCGGGTATCCAGCCGGGGACGGATGCTTCGAACGGCGTATTCCAGAGAAACAAGTTCGACAGTAAAAATAATAATATCGCGTTGTCTAACATCTGTTGCTACTCTCGAGTCAGCAGACACTACGAATGAAGCAATTTTGATCTTTACGACGGTATTTATGGCTTATCACAGTGATTCCGATGAGACAGATGTTTGCTAAATAGTAATCGTGATTCTCGTCAAGTCACACCATTGATTGTAGTCACGAATTGAGCTCATTTCAAGGTTCTTCTATTTTTTTTTTTTTTATTTTTAAGGTTCGATTTATGAATCAAATAAAACAAATTCGCTTGTTGATAAAATGATCGAATGAAACTCATCCAGACGTTTTCCAGTTTTTTTTTTTTTTTTTTTTTTTTTTACGAGAAAAGATATTTTTGCGAGAGCGAGACAACTTCTTCTTGAAATATAGTCCAACGAAGAATCCTACCACAGAGAAGGTGGATTAAAATTTAGCGATACGAATTTATGTCAAGGCATTAGTCTCCGGTTCGAATTTTTTCTCTCTCAGTTCCTGCCTTATCCCCAGGGGGTAAGAAACAGGCCAACGTGGCGCCTTTGAATTTTAATTCGGCCGCTCTTGAAAATTTCGTTGCTCCCAATATGGTCGTAGTTCGTGCGTTTACGCGAGAATACGCGCGAACGAGGATCCAGGACGCGAACGCGCCCCCGCGATTTACGTTCCACGGTGCACACCTGTGCGACGCAGTAATTTCCACGCAGTCGTTTCTCGTCTTTGAATACCCTCAACGTCGCGCGTTTTACGCGCAGAGACGAACGAACTTCGTTCGCCAACTTTCCTTTTCCAAGCTGCGTTAACCATTTTGAGAAATTCCCTCAGTCCTGCTGTGCGAGTACTTATTAAAAGTTTTGCCTCAACGTGATTGCAGCCGTGCCTATAAAAATTATTTTAGGGTTACATTTTAGGGTTACTTTCTCGGAAGCGGAATTGATCGACTCCACTTTTTATTAGTTTCTCAGTTCATGCAAAAGACTTGCTTGAGTAATTTTTTATTTTCAAAAATAGTAGTTTGTAACGATATCTTTTCATAAATAATTGTAATCAGCGTGTATTTGGATTTCGTGTAATGGAGTCAACACGCTTACAATTTACAAGAGTTTATTCCCTTACAGTCGTGGTCGTGTATGAAATAGAATGATATAGAATGATTTACAATGTTTAATGCTCTTGAATATGATGTAGAATGATTTAGAATGTTTGATGCTTTTAACGATATAGAATGTCTCTATAATGATTTAGAATGTTTTATACTCTCGAATGTCTCTAAAGCATATCCTTATATATATTTAGTTATCATTGTCAAGTAGAAGAGGAAGGAGCATAGATGACCAACTATTGGATCTTGCCCTTATGACTAACTATTCACAATGCACTTTTATGTGAACTGTTGCTAGCTCATTGTCAGTATTTGTATAGATTCAATATTGTCCGAGTTGGTCATCCAACGCTGTGTCTTTTGAATAATATTTCAACGAGTATCTGTTGACAGTTTCTTTATTATTTAATCTCTAAAAAAGAGTCATACTTTTTAAGTATAATGTATTCTCACTTCAAACATTCACGTGATATATATTAAATAAAAGATGCGATTTTTTTAAAGAAAAATGTCAACCTATGACGTCTGCTCGCATGATGAAACGCGACCTGACTATTAATTAATAACACTTTACAGGGATAATTTGCGACACCGTCTCGTATCAGCGTCATCATTGCCCTCGATCCCTCAACCGCGTCGGTTTTTATGGAACATTTTAAAAATTGATCTGCCAATGTCCCCAGACGACGTCGAACTCCGACTGGAGCAGACGCGTTATTTTACTGACGATGTTCTAAAATAAATATAACACATACATACACGGAGACGCAACTACGTTCTTCGACGTAGTAAATCAAATTTTATCGCGGTGTACATCGTAGTTTTTCGTAGCCGGAACGTTTGAAATCAATGATGATTTATCGAGCAAGCAGCAGAGCAACCGGCCTCGTACTTGCTTCGATGAGTGACAAATGACTGTATTTATAGAAACTTGGTCGAAAAATTGCGCCATCGTGGCGGCACTTCTGTTACAGGGCTTTCCACTTTCCGTCCAACTTTCACGGCGATTTTTACTATTCGACGCGTTCCACTTGAAATCACGAGGGTTTCCCCTCTCGCCCTTCGTGTCTCCCTGCCGTTCAATTCTTTTTTCTCCCGCGATTGAACGTTCCCGTGATAAACAACACGATAAATTATATTTACCAATAACGATTACACTTGTCGCTTCCCTTTGTGCGATTTCCTCTTCCATGAACGAACAAACGACAGCGGAGAAACAATTTTAATCGCTCTTTCGAGCCATTAGGGGACAATAAGAGCGATAAAATGATGAGCAAATATTGAACGAACGTGTTATTATTCAAAGAATGTGAATAACGATTTGAAAAAAGAGGAAATAAACGTGTAACAGAGAGAGAGAGAGAGAGATAAATATTTTATATAAATTGAAAATTTCAAAAAACGAAAGAGAGAGAGAGAGAGAGAGAGAGAGAAAAAGAGAGACGACATTCTCGTTTTCGATTATATAAAAAATTCCAAACTCGAATCTTGAATTTAATCTTTCTCTGATCTATTTTCGCAAATTTAAATTTCTTTAACTTTTATAGTCCACCAATGTTCAATCTTGACACCGATCTTGACTAACGAGCAATCGTTTCTCAATCCAACGAAGGGAAAAAAGAAGGAATCACATCGATCGAATAACAAAATTAGGAGAAGAATCGTTCGATCGTTAAGATTCATCACCTACGGCTCTCCCCTACGCTGCTCCTTTTTCATCCTCTGACAGTCACGCACAGAATCGTCGCGTGTCTCGCCGTACCCTCGCGCGATCGTGCCGCACGCGCAATTTAATGTTCGCCCCTCGCCTCGAACGAAGAAACGTTCCATTCTCCGGTGAATAACTCAACCCCGCGTCGTTCCTCGCGACGTGACAAGTCGTCGTCGCCCCACGATCGTGTTCGTGCCACCAACACCAACGCGTTCCGTAGATCCCCGACTACGACCATCCGCCGACAGTCTGAAGAATTAATTAAGACAACGTAATTACCTACTTGGATCCGTTTTAATTCGAACTCGGCCGGCCGTTCCGTCGGTAAATCGCCTGTGTTTTCACAGTGTCTGGCCGCTCGGCGAGCCGGCGATAAATGCATAAGAAGATCCCGACTGAGGATTAATTCATGGATCATCGAGGAAACGGGTTACTCGCTGCTTTCGTCGCGAGTCGTTGCAACGTTCCCTCGAAGCTGGTTCCTCTTGATTTCTCAAAGAGACCTAGTTGGCCTCGGCGAGAGGAGAGCCTCTCCCGCGGGGTATTTTCATCGGTGGTTTAATTTTAAGAGGGTCAGCGGATCGTTCTTTAGTGGGTCTTTCGGTTCTTGACAAATTGCGGAACAATTTTCAGAATTATCGAGAGCCAAAGCTTTCAGCTTTCTGTAGTTTTAAATCCTTACATTGTTCTATTTGTTTCTTTCTTTTTCTTCTTTTCTTTTATCGGAAAGAAAAGACAAGAAGGATGATTTCTATTTTTCTTTATATTATTCAAAGTATCGGATTTCCATCGGAGGATCAACTTGAAGGAAACCGTAAGTTAAATGGATCGTAGTTCCTTCCGTTTCTGATAAAAAATGGCAACGAGCATTTGGAATCTCTTCTATTTTTAGAGAGGAAATTGAACTTTGTAATCGAATATTGGAAAAAAAATAAGAGCAACGTGTTTCTAGCTCCTCTGTACACGCATACATATCCGCGGAACGTCGGATTTTCTTTGGTGGATTAATGTTAAAAGGATCGTGGGTTAATGGAAACGCGCGAGAATGATCGTAGTTTCTCGTTTGTTCGCAAACAAAACATGTTGCAGATGAAAATTTTAATCCTTAGTCTGTTGATTCGTAGGGAGCAAAAATTCAAGGTTCAACTCCTCTATTTTTTCGAGGTTACTTTACGTCCGAATGCGTCGTTGAAAACAGGAGGCAAAGGCAAAGTGTTTCAGCCTTCCTTTTTCTTCTTTTTTCCCCTTTTTATGTTCGGAACGCAGCGGATACGTAGCGCTGCAGTCACTTTCGTTTGTGATCAGTTGAAAATTTCACTCGTCACTTTGTCGAGTCGCTTTGTCGGGAGTGAGCTTTTCGGAGCGGAACGACACGACATCGACTTTATCATCGAACAGGTTCCCTTTCGAAAATACGACGGGTGCAAACGTCGTTTCCGCATTCGAGGGAAAATTAATTCGAACGATTCGTGTCAGCAAATCACCGCGACGCTGGCTCCACATCGAACCTTTGTCCACCGGTGTATCCTTGCGGTATTATCGTTCAATTTTCCCCGGACGGACGTTTAGATTCAATTAACCTTGCGCCGCTCGTCTCGTATTAAACTCAAACACCTCGTATTTTATATTCAAACATCCTGCCGCCGCGTCGTCGCTTTTAAAGCCGCTCCACCCCCCCCCCCCCCGAAGAATTATTGGAACTTAAAAAAGAAGAACGAGATGCTCGACTGCGAGAAACCTGTTTAAACGAGGAGAAACCTATTAATTCGAGTGATTTTCATTTTCCAGGAGCAGCGATCTAATCGACGGGGGATCCTCGCGCTGTGGTATCTCGACTGCGTTACAGTCTCTCGGTAACTGCGAGGCGGAGCAACGAGACGGTCCGTTATTAAGAGATAAAAAAATGCAGTTAAAAACTATCAGTTCGGTGGCGGGAGCCACGCGTCGTACTTGCAAAGCAGCCTCGGAGGAAGCTTCTCTATTCTCAGGCGAGCTATATCCAGGAACTTTCAGCCTGGCGGCACATCCTTAGGTAAATGAGCTCTTATCTCGAGCTTTGCACCGGGCCATCGCAAAAACGTCACGCGCCCAAGCGTACACCCACGGCCCCTTTCTCTCTCTTGCTCGTGCACGCGCGAGAGAGCAAAGATACAAATCCATCGGATCTGCTCCGAGTTCTTAGCCAAGTTTATCTTTCGAGCAGAGTGCTAGTGGCGCGAACGAACCCGGATAGAAAAAAAGGGCGTTTCCAGAAGGCGAAGAGTATATTTTAAGAGTACGACGAAAACTCAGTCGATTGCAACGTACGCGCAGGTGTGCTGCTTTTCGGCTATCAGTAGGTGAAGAAGGAAAAGGTGTGTTTCCTCACACGGCGTTCTGGGTGCCATTTCTCGAGATACCTTGAGGTATTAAATTAAAGGAGAAACGAGTCTCAGCCGAAAGCAATACAGCAATACAGTGTTGTTTGTGCGCGAGGTGTTTGTTCAAAGCAAAACTCGCGTGTTGCGAGTGTGCGAGTGTGTTGGACGCAAGTGAACGGTGGAATGTTAGTGTCGGTAGGTCGGTTCGTTTCGAATTGCCTGCGAAATCCGTGGTCACGCGACAACCTGCAAGGAAGAGGACGGGAGGAGAGAAGAAAGGAAGGAAGGAAGTGGAGGTTCGCGGAGGAGGCGTTATTAAATCGGCCGGCCCGTAATCCGGCGGCCGTGTTGCTGGCGTTTACGTGGCCCAGGCGAAAACTATGCGGCACGAGGCACGACGAGGATGATGGGGCCAAGAATCGGTGGCCTACCGAGCGGCAAAACGCTGGCCCCGTGCCAGCAGCCGCCTCACACTCGGACAGTGTTGCTGGTGTATTTGGGCATCTGCGCCTTGCTGCCTGTCACCATTCTCTCCGGTTGGTATTCGATCGTCACCTTACTCTCTTTTTCGCTTCGTTACACCACCGACCGTCACCACCTTCCCCTCCCTTTCTCCTGTCTCTATCTTTTCGCGAGATATTTTCGCCGTCTCTCTCTCTCTCTTCCGGGCGAAAATAATAGAAAGGGGCGCGAAGGAACTCTAGGCACTTTTGGAATTCGCGCTCGCCGGTCGATACACCATCGGCGATCGGTTGAAAATTTTCACTGTCGATAGACCGGTGGACCGACAGTTACGAGCTGAAGGGAGATGTTCGGATCTGACGAAAAAGAAAAGAGATTCCTTAAAATGGTATAATTGGCCATGTACCATTGGTACATCGCGATCCTGCACCGCGTCGCGCTTCAGTTTCATAATTTTTGATATTTCGCTGCATGTGCAACGTTACTCACGAAACTCGATATACTCTTTCTATCAACTCCATTGGCTCTTCCATCTCTGTTCGATGAAATTCAAGACGGAGAAAAAAATTTGATATTCCTCCGCTTTAACCCGATGACCGATGTTTCTCCGATTCTTTTATCAACGGACGCGCGAATTAATGGCAACGCGATGGAAAGAACGGAACGTATTGGAAGAGTGGCGTTTTACTCTCGGATGAGAAAGAGGAGGGAGAAAGAGAGAGAGAGAGAGAGAGAGAGAGAGAGAGAGAGAAGGGCACGGAACGGTGAGACGGGAGTCGTCGACACGGAAATCATGGAAAGTTCCCAACATTCGTTCCACGATATGAACTCTGACAATCCCACCTGAGAAATGAACCGCATAAATCACGATACGCTCATCAAGCGCTCGCGCGTCGTCTCAATTTTGCCAAACTTTCGCCACAAATCTCCTCGGGGCCGCCTGAGCGTCGCCGTCTCTCCTCTGAATCCTCTCAAGAATTCCTTCGACTCGCAGGCATCTTTCCGTGGTGACGAGTCAATTTTAGATTGAGAAAAATGTTTTTCCTTCCATCGCCGCGTGGCGATGACAGTATCTGTTTACGTAACAATAACAATGGGAACGATGATTATATCTTGGAGGATTGTATTTTCGTCAGGCCTCTCCGCCAGTTTAAATATATATATGAAAATGTTTTTATAATATGGAATTTGAAAAAATATGCGAAAGGAAGAAGTCCATTAGTTTCAGACTGGTCAAGTTACTTGAATTCGAATCGCATTTTCATATAATTGTTGCAGATGAGCAATTATTGTATACGACATATAATTTAACGGTACGGTTGTTCGAGTTTGAAACTTTTCCACTTCCAAATTTTATTGTCCCTTACACATTGAACAAGTAAAATAATAAATTAAATGGAACAACTATTTTAATAACTATTTTTTAAGAGAAAGAGTGGAAATAATTCAAGTATAATTCACGTGACTCGACCAGTCCGAAGGACATTTAAGATCAATCTGGAGAGGTTGTTGAACAAAGAAGATAAATAAAATTGCAAGTGACCTCACGCTTTGTAAATTTAGATCAGCGATATTCAAACGACAGGGCAGGAAAAGGTTCGCGTGTGCTCTTTCTTCTTCTCCTTTTTTCTTTTTTTTTGTTTTCGAGGCATCGATTTTTCGCGACGGTAATCCACGTCGCAATCATCAAAATTTCATTCTCCGTCAATTAACTGCGTTTTCGCGTTGCAATCTAACGCACGATAATTAATGTAGAGAATTTTAATCGATGCCGCGTGCGATTGAGCGCGAACACAAATAACGAGCTCCACGCAGCCGACTTCGGTCGAATGAAAATCGTTCGCCACTCAATCGTAAACTTTCGGTTTGGCAGTGCAATAATGCAGCCATGCTGCCTTTTCTTTCGGAAACAGATTCGCGCGCTGAATTATTCGATTCGCGATACAGAAGCTAATAGAGAAATTCGCGACAACTTCTCAGCTTTAGGAGAGTCAGAAATTTATCCACGATAAATTCGCGCGAAAATTCGGTAGCTGCGAATTTGGCTTCGAACAGTTTTTAAATTCTTTGTTAAATTCGTTACTTTATATTTGGAAAACGATGGAATGGACGCTTGAAAGTATTTAAAAGTATTTTCGAGAGGAGAGTCGCAAAAATTCCAAAGTTTAGGAATTTAAGTTCGACTATTTTCGGACCGTGAAACAATACGATGGACACTTTGAAAATAGCCTTTGCCTTGGAATCATCCATATCCTCGGTAAATTTTCTCCGGGCGTTTAAATCGATCAATCCGAGGCACCCAGATCCAAGAATGTCGTCGCGAACGAAACGAGCGCAGGAGGTTAAACGCGTCATCCTTGGGCGCAAATTGCAAGCCGTATTAACAATTACCCCGTAATTGTCTACACTGGCCGTGGACCAGAGGATTTGCAAGGCAGAATTAAATTTCTGTTGTTATATTCTATTACGCGGACGTCATAATTCTGTATCTCCGGCCTCCGCTGTCGCGCGATTCTTCGCCATTGTGCCTCTCCCACTGCATTGTTACAATTTTGACAATTTAGCCGGTGCGACCGACCGTGAGATTAAATGTTTGCTTAAAAATTTCATTCATTGACTTTCGCTCTTTGAAGAATTGTTTCGGCTCGTTTGCTCGGAATTCTTTCGCCTTTAAGCACGAAGTAGTTGCAGTTCTTTTTCCGTGGGAGAATTGATCAATCAGTAAAAATTTTGCTCAGAACGTATGCCCAGTTTTTCTTACGAACGAAGTAACAAAGAGTTTAATTTGACAGTTTCTGAAATTATTTAATTCCCTAACTTTGAAATTCAGAATGAAATTGAAACGATCGTTTATTAGAGATTTTAAAAACTTTAAAGAAGATCGAGAATTAATTGTTTATTTTAAATAGGCTCAGAAATTTTGTTCTGGCCAGTTAATTTCGCTTTTAAATGTCACTTTAATTCCAACTCCAAATTTGAAAATTGAGGATTAAACATTCTCGATTTCTCTTACAATAAATACGTTTCTATTACTGGGAAAAGATTCGAGCAGCACGTATCGCGGATGAATTTATTTTCGAAATAAGCTCGCTTCCGTGTCCGTCTTTTTCTATGTTTCTTTTTTTTTTCTTTTTCCAAGGAACACTCGTTTTATGGCACGCACGTGTTGCCATAAACGTCCGCCTAGACTCGCGACCGCAACGCAAACTGAGCTTTGCCAGCAATTCCGAATGTAGCCGAGCTGCATAAGTACTTCCGTTAAATCTGTGTCAGAGGGAACACGCTCGACAATTTCTTTTCATCCCTCTTCCTTTCGCTCGTATCTCCCGCTCTTACGCGTTCGAACGATCCGGCTTCGTCTGTTCTTTGTATTGTCTCGGGCACAATTAAAAGATAAAATCGAATTAAATTGCTCTCACGATGGCGCTGGTAATTGCAACCCTTTTTTCTACTTTCCCCACTCGAACGTTACTCGAAGGTTAGCCAAACGTTACCTTAATTGGCTGTCCAAAAACTGCCTTCTACTTCCTTCCCCCTTTCTCTTTTAATCCTTTTGCTGTTGGGGATACCTATGCGTTCCATGGAATTGGTTATTGTTACACTTGGGATTAAAAGATCACGCAGGGCAGTGATCGTTTTTAAACTTTAAAATTTGTTCACGTAATCCGTAGTGCCCTCGACGAAAGTTAAGTGAAAATCAAATTGAAATCTTAACGGGAGATGGGAAATTATTTTTCTCGGATGATTTTGTTGAAAACGTAAAATTTCCATCAGAGATGTCAAAGTAAAAAGAGAAAGAAAAGAAAAAATTTTAGAACACAACGAAACACACAAGCTTTTATTTATACATTTTATTGAACGAAAAATCATTTAAATCTCTACATTGTTTCACATTTGTAAGATATGTGATAAAAATTATAAATTGATCGTTTTGTCCATTTTGGTAATTCCAGTCATCATCGCATTTCAAATACGCTTTATATGTCACTGTGTCATCTGCATTTCCGCATAAATCTTCCACGAATCAATAAACGCTCGCAAACCTACGATCGACGTAATGTCAAAGTGTCACACTTTCTTCGTATTTAATGAACCCTAATCTGTGCCGGCCACCGAGAAACCAGAGTCGCAGCCTTAAATTGTGCTCCGTCACGAGAACCGCGAGCTGTCATTATTGAATCAGAACTGTAATTCGTGCCGCGAGTGTGACTTGATATCGCTGGTCGTGGAATTAAGAACGCGGCGAAGGTGTATAAAATGTTGTTTCGCTCCCGGTGGGTAGTTAGTAGCATTTATCCGCACGTAACGGACGCAACGCGGCGCGATGTTAGTCGGTTTCTCGAACCGAGTGGCACATTCGGCTTGGCCGGCGAACCGAACATCTGGTTTCACCAGCCGTAAACAGTTGCGTCTGAGCCTGCTTTCGCCGTTTTCAAACGAGAACAGTGGGCCAAAGCAGCGCCAGTCCAACGATAGCTGCGTAAATAATCGTGCCATCGTGCCGATTTTTTTAATCCTCGAACGACCCTCGTTGAAAATTAGCGATGACTATAGAAATAAAAATTTTCAAAGCTTGGAGTGCGCTTGGTTTTATTTTGTATTCTGCGAGAGAGATTCGCGATGATTTGATCTTATTTGTAATTTAATATTGAATCGTCGTGATGATCGTCGGTACCATTTCAAAGAGTGGAAGAAACATTTCTTTAACGACGAGATTCTGCAAACTCTAATTTACCTCGAAAGATATGAAAATTCCCTCCGACGATTTCGACGAAATAGACGAGAGACTTTGCTTCAACCGCAATCTTGAAATAACAGGGTCCCGTTTAAAAACACGGGTTTTTCGCGTGGCGGCGCGGCCATAAGCGGCGAGGAAAAATGTAAATTAATAAATTTAAAAGTTAAATAATTCCCGCGGCAAGTTCGGCGTTACAACGCGAGAGAGGAAGAGCGGAGGGTGGATGGGTTGGTCCTCCCCCCGGGGAGGGGTTGCTTGGAAATTCAGGAAAACCGACTCGCCTCCCCGAACACAGCGACACAACTATTTATACGTAAATAATGTAACAGCGCGCGT